CGTATCGCCTCCATCTTCAGAGCAGGTGAATGGCTTGGAATGCAGAGAGCAGTAGCTACTCCTCTGAAGATGGAGGCGATACGTTCCTCCGAAACGTCGGCCAAAACGAAGAATACACGGCGCCTAAACCCAGAAGACGACTTTCTTCACTTGACTAATAGTCTGCCGGTATTAGTCTCCATTCTCCACATGTGCTATGAGTGCTGACACGTCATCACAGTAGAATGAAGTGCTTTTTTTTGTTGCGGTACAGTCTACGAACCCGATGCATACCGTGACCATTAATTTGCAGCAATCGAAACAAAAATTATTTTTGAATTACAATACCCACAAGGGTTTTTATCACAGTGTTTCGAAATTTCGTGATATTAACTTCTAATTATGATGAGGTTATCATACAGCTGATCTTTTTTTTTTTTTGTGAGAAGAGTGACAGGAGCACTCGTCATCTGAGGAGACATTTAGGCTTTAGCAGAAGCCAGCGGCCTGCCCTACAAATAGCGGTGGCACAAAGTGACATCCCAAGGTTATGTTCGATAATTAAAGTAACTTAAGTAGAATAGTATTAAATGATACTTTATTTATAATCTTTCTCTTACACTATTAATTCAGTATGGAATAAATCTATTCCTTTAAAATGTGTAGATAGTTAGAAATCGCCGGAAACGTCCGTTCAGACGTTGTGACGTCATTTCCTTTAAGCATAGACTAGAGTCGTCAGATTGCATTCGGAAGATTTCAGCTGCCTCAGCTCTGTAAAACGTCAATACATATTTTAGAAAACATGTTTACTCTAACGTGTGTTTGGTATCGCTAGACTCTTGTTTTGTTTTGTTTTGAAGGAAGAGCAGAGATTTGAACTGTTTGAAAATAACTGAAATAACCCCGTAATCTCTGTAAATATGGACCAAGTATTGAGAAATAGCGAATTTAAAACCATTTGGGACGCAATAAGGAGCAAATTATGCATTCAAGGGAATTGTAAGGGTGACAGGAACAGGTATTTAGGTAAATAGATCGCAATTTTATAGCAGAATTTTTAATTTTGAATTGTCTATCCCTAAAATCGATAGTACATACAGGATTATTAGGGAAATATTTCAACACCCATAGTCTCTTGAATTTCCAGAAAACAGAACAAGTTTTATTTCATACTTTTTAATAAACCGCGAGTACAGTAGTTACTATAGGATTCTGACGATGGTGTATAACACACAGAGATATTGGGTTTTCGGACTTTATCCATCGTCCTGGTTTTTAAGATAACTAATAAAAACACGACGTTTCGGAAACTGGATCTGTTTCCGTCCTCAGGTGAGGGAAGACACCTACTCTGTTGGGTCCCTTAGAAAGAGCTAGCCTCAATCACTGGACAACCGATGTCACAAGGACACTATGGCTATAAACATCTAAGACAACGTTGTTTACATTCCCTACAGAACGGACAATGCTTTGTAAGATGAGGCACAGTCTAAATAATTAACATTAATATTACTACATCTACATCACGAACCTCCAATAACAGTTTATTATATATACACAAAATATAGAATACTCCCATTTGTCCGTGGGAAAACAACAAAATCACAAAAACCAACGACTGACTCGATAATGTAAAGCATCACTTGAAGAATTTTAATCTTGTTTTATACTATAAATTTTATTTTATATAGTCTAATTTGTTGTACTTTCACGCAAAATATTTAATATAATTAACATTATTGTATCCAATCTTACTAGTACTGCAGTTCAGTGGTGTATATCATGTTGGCCATGTATTTGCCTAATGATGGCTGTTGGTAGCCGAAACATGTAGCAAAACCAAAATTGGCACTGACCTTTATATATTTGTGTTGTAATGGATTTAATAAAGAATTATAAGAATATGCTGGGTGGTTGCAGAATTAATTGTGGATCTATAGAGCCACCCCCAGACGCCTTCATGGCGTTCTGCTTAATTAGTTAAGCACAGGGACAATTTTACCTTTACCTATCTGTACTGTAACACGTAATAAATTGTTATCCAATTTCTGGCTTACACCATTTCCTGCGACCCCTAGAATTATAACTCTCAATTTAGAATTGTTAGGGTAACAACGGCAACTCCGGGAGGTGGGGGTTGAGATAAGCGTATCGTGAAGCATAAATGGGGTTAATTGAGAAATTAATATAAATTTTATATAAGAAAGTTCCACGAATCGATACTAATGACGTAAGGGTTAAAGAAATTGTTCTGCAGATGTAAACTAAATTCAACTAATTTAGAATAGATTTTGGTGTCGATGCGTACGCTATATTTTCTGAGAAAATTTAATTTTGGTTTATTTCCATCAACTATAAATCCTTCTTAACATGAAGCTGAAATCAACGTTTATAGGTTTTATTAAAAATGGTTTATCGTACAAAAATATATACATTAAAATATAGAGCTTATTATTACTGACAACTTTCATTTGAAACATTTTTATAGTGAGTATTTAACGAAATGTAAGAGAAAATAATTTCTGACAGTGTATTTTGAATGAATTTTCAACAGTGTATCTACTTCTGCGACGTTCTGCAATAAATTACTTTAAACATATCGAATTATCCAGGAGATGAAAGTTAGGATGAAATGGCGGATGACCTCCCTATCACGCCTTCGCCTCTCTGTATAACTCACGCTTATCTGGGTTGACACAGTTGTAGTAGTTGAGTCCACAACGATTTGGAAAAGTTACAGGCTGTGAGACACCGTCCCCAGCGCAGACTGGAAGGTACTCCAGGGTGCATACGGGAGAACATCTCTGATGTCCCACAACGAATCCCATCAGCAGGAACACTGAAAACGGTGCTCATACACTGTTAAAATCTCAGTGACAGCCAAAGATCTGGCATGTTAGAAGGTTGAAACAGAGTGTCCGGAGGAAAGGTATCCAAAATAAAATCGCTATATCTCAAAAAGAATACACATTAATGGGTTACACCATTACAAAGGGAAACTATCAAAGTTTTTCTGTGTATATAACTTTCTGAATAAATTTAAATGTGGGGCTCCCTTGGTGGCACGACAAATATCCAGGCTTGAAGCATGTTTGGTGTTACTGTAGCCACAGCGTCCCTTATGCGGGCCTTCAGCTGTTGAAGATCTTCACATAACCCCACAAGAAAAAATCCACTGGGGTTAAATCTGGCGACCTAGGAGGCCAAGCGATTGGTCCACCTCTGCCAATTCATATCGCAGCCATCTCTCTGTCCAGGTGATGCCTAACATGGTGGCAGAAATGTGGCGGCGCATGCGCGTGAGCCGGGTATGAAAAAAAATCAGAGTTTTCATTTCCGATGACATAAACCGGATACGTGTATGACAATTAGATTCTGAGATATAACTTTTTTTTTATTTTGGATACCTTTCATCCGGACATCCTATGTATTAATTTGAAAACCGACTGGTGCATTTGGAACTGGTTCCTCGTCGCCAAAGAGTCTACAGCAAATATAGGAGTGGCAACATTTTCTCGCTTGCTCTACTGGCACAAGACTGTTGCGTGAGTCGCGGTGATTTTTATAATGCAGCTATACTTTGATACGGGACCATCATTTAATCCCAAAATTTATTCAAGTATTTATGTTGTCATACAGGAGCCCAATTCTTTAATTTAGAAATCGTTAGATTCAAGTAAATAGTTTTGGATAAATTACTAGACAGAATATTAATTTATTTTTATATAAACATTATAGATGGACAATTAAAATGCATTTCTTCAAGCAATTAATTATGCAATTTTATGATATAAATTTTCCATATGATATCTCTCTGAAATGGCACGAACTTCTTTATTTCAACAATTTCACTTATCTTTCGGTTGTCTTATCCAAACAACATTCATAATTCAAAATATTTTAATCTCGAATAAATAGGTCTGTTATATATTACAAGCTTTTTTTTTTCCTTGGCACTACAGCCCCAGTGGGCCTAGGCCTACCTCCATGAACTTCTCCGTTCACTTCGGTTTTTCTAGATCTTACACACATACGGTAGGACTCCTTGGACGAGTGATCAGCTCGTCGCAAGGCCTCTACCTGTACACAAACACAGAAAAACGCACACAAACATCCATGCCCTGAGTGGGATTCGAACCCACTATCCCGGCTTCCAAGCGAGCGAAGACAGTACATGCCTTAGACCGCTCGGCTACCGTGACCGGCATATTATAAGCTTACTGGTACTTAAGTTACCAAATTAAATTATTATTTGAGCTATCTATACGTTTTATTCAACAACAGAAAGGGAAAAAATGAACACCTATGTTAATTTTCATTTCGCTACAATACAAATATATTCACAGTACTAAAATTAAAATTTAGTTTGTTTTAATTTATGTCGTTAAAAGTTAATTTCGGTAGGAAGAGCTAACTCATTTTTGGTCAATTACCACTTACACTAGAATCACTTCCACATTCTTAGACACGTCTGCAACCTAAATTAGCTTCGTACGTCCATCTGTCCATGTCGACGCATCAAAACAAACCAGAATAACTGCATAGATTTTCATTAAATTTTATATTGGAGACTTCTAATGCTATTTGTTTACGCATTCGAATCTTGTTTAAAATCGGACAGAAATAACGGACAAATGAAGATCTACATGCATAGAGAATCACTCGTTAAATGTTAATAAGGGAGGAAAAAATTCGGATATATGTTCGTGAATGTTACGAGTTTCGAGAACCCCAATACCGAGTAAAAAATATCCATAAACATTTTCGGAAATGAGATGTGGAAACGAGCCTACAGACAGATGTACTGCTTCCCAATATGCACTTATTATTATCGACATTATGTAAGGAAAGCATAAGGACTCACAGTACAGTAATTTATTATGGCATTGATCAAATACAAACGGACTTACCCAGTGTCAGGAGAATGCAGCCTTTCATTCTTACAGAGAGACCAGAGTTATGATAATAGTACCTTAACAAAGAAAGGAAACACTTGATGTACCATATAAAATCCCATCTGTTCCAACCAAGTTCAGAGATTTATCGCTCATAGATAACATGTATCAAAGAGATTACATACATATGAATTATATATAGAAGTAGAGCCCTGACAGTGTGTCCTACTGATGTTCTGTGAAGATTTACTCTAAGTTATGTAGGCCTACTTATTTATATTTTCCTGTTACTTTATGCTAATTCCCTTTTTCCTTAAAACTTACTTGCACTGACGATAATTTCCAGAAGATATTCGGCCTATACACGTATATATATCTGTAGAAGAGGTCTAGACACGTATATATATATCTGTAGAAGAGGTGTAGACAATTTGTCAACAAAATTACTCTCACGAAAATATATTGCCACAACTGTTGCAATTATTGAAGGACACATGTGTATTAGGTACATTTCACATCATTTTACTTTTGCATACTCTTCCGAATAATATACGTCAGATAAATAAAGGAATACAATAATTATCCTCTATACTCATATAAATTTATTGTACCTCAAGAAACAAACACTAGAGTAGTATAAATTATTGTTAATTTTAAATTATGAAACCTAAATATTATACCAAATATGTTTTAATTGCGTTATACATGACATTGGCTCCAAATGGTGGAAGGTCTTGCAGATATTAAGTACAGATTCACTTGTGCGTCAAACCACATATGGCTGCATAGTGACGAAACAACGGTGAACATAGATCTCTTTAGATGTGTGTATCTTATGAAGTTTCCTAGCAATAGGACCAGAGAGGACAGGACAGAAAGGAGAAACAGAACATTTCATGTTACACAAATTATGGATGATGTATTTGAAAAATCAGCTTGAATTCAATCGAAGAGCACCAAGCATCCCCGGAAAACTTGTTTGTCATCTCACACACGTTAACGTACCATTCATTAATTGTTTCGCCAACTTTATCGAACATTGGTCCATACACTGTGTCAGCATCCACTCATTTTATTTATTTAAGACAAATTTTTATATAATCTTCCAATCTATTCTTAAGTCTTTCAAAACGCCTATCCCTTTCGGATACTCCAACCAAATTTTGTACAATTTCTTCCACATGTGACGTTCACTTAATTCTGGAGTTTTCGCAAACAAACATGTTCCCACGGAACAGATTGACCTACAACAATAAGGAACGGTGTTTTCTATGCGATCCGTGCCGAGTTGTAATGACCAGGACAGTTAGCTGAGAGTCTACAGTTGGAGTAATGAGACAGTTGTGGAATATTCGCCCAGACGGCAAGTACGTAAGCAGAGGACATTATTCGGATCCCTTACCAGGAAACGACTAGAGAATACATAGAAGTATTAAATGTGCTGCAGTTACAGTGATCTTTAGAGAGTGTGTAGTTGTTTGCAGTTATGAGTTGAGTTATGTGTACAAGTGGCCATTAAATCCAATCACCAATCCAGACCCTGTCCATATCCAATCTAACACACGACAATATTGTTTCTTTCTGGTTAGCTTATGTCTACTGGGACTTCAAGCACAGCCCGAGATAGCAACAAAACATTACAACGCAGAGAGAGTGAATTCCGATTAATGGGATCACAGGTTAATTGGGACAGCCCCTTATATGGAGAAATCCCTGGAGAACAAAAAAGAAATCGAGCGTATAACCAGAATTTGCTTCGTTTATTTGGGACACTGTACCGTTTAATTGGGCCAGTAGCTGCCACATAGTGCATTTATGTTTACTGCGTCTTCAGTGAGTCTCTGACTCAGTCAGCATAAATATACACCTAGCTAGAGTATTTTTAATTCGCATATTCTGTAGGAATATACAATTTTAAATGCAAAAAAAAACCGCTGCACACGACACAGTAGAGTCGCACGCACAGTCACTGCAAGTCTGTGAGCAACTGTAGATAAGGCCGCGCCATAGCCCAAGCGGTTAGTCACTGGCTTCCCACCGCGGCGGCCCGGGTTCGAGCCCGGGTCTGCTCAAGTGGGATTTCTGATGGACAAAGTAGCGCTGGGGCAGGTTTTCTCCGAATACTTCGGTTTCCTATGTCAATCTTCATTCCACCAAATTCTCCATCATCATAATCACCCGGAGCAGGTAAAATAGGCCAATCANGCCTTACCTGAAAAAATTAGAAACAAACCGCCTAACACCATTCATCGGCAACTGGAGGAGATACCTGGAGTGCCGAAATTTACAATTTTACGCTTTTTACGTCAACGAGAGGAACAGCGAGATGAATGGACATTACTCCACGGACAACAGAGAACTTCCTGAACGCGGAAGCGTGAAGGTAAGGATCCAGATATTCAAGTGGCCCTAAATCAGTAGTTCTCTATCGCAACAGGGCGAGGTTGGTCCAATGTTGAAAATCAAGTCAGAGGAATTAGCTAAGGGCGTGGGTCATAATAATTTAAAAGCAACATATGGTTCATGGTCTCGATAGAAATGCAGGTTTGGGATAAAATTCAAGAAGGCACAAAGTGATAAGGGCCGTGCTGATTCTGTAAGTGTTGAACAATGGAAATTCACAAAGCTGCCAAAATTGTTTCTGAAAATTTGCGCAGATTGTATCTACTGTCCCGATGAAACGGGTTTATTTTATCGTACCACGCCGGACAATTCCCTAAGGTACAGACATGCAACTCTACCAGGTTCGAAGAAAGCAATGGATTACGCAATTCTTTTGTGCTGTTCAAACATGTCAGGAACTGATAAACTGAAGCTGTTGGTTAATGGGGAAAATATTAAGCCTTGGTGCTTCGAGGGGGTTAGTATGGGCAGTTTACCAGTTCTGTACTACTAAAAATGCGTGGATGACATATGAAAATTTAAAGAGATGAATAATGACAATTATAAATTACAATTATAAAAGACAAGTCCGTCCAATGTGACTATTTCAGTTTTCTCACTTGATGATTCACTAGCCTTACATGTTTCGATCCATTTGGATCATCTTCAGAGGCACCAAACACTTTTTAGAAACCACTATCACAACAGTTGTCATATCAAATATACATGTAATGTCCAAGTACACAATGTTCCATCTATCACTCACAGCAGCCTTTCTGGTTATAGAAATATTTAAAGTTGTTTTAAAGTTTTAAGAACTTTGTTAAAAATTAAAATACATAAACCTTACGGTCCGTGTCAATAACCCCTGTCGTCTCTCTTCAAGGTGGCCGATGTTGTGCCTCCTATGTAACTTGAGTAGGGAGATTCTTAATATTGTCCGTTATGATTTCTTGGCCCGCTGTGCTGTGTATACAAATCAAATTCAGATGATTAATGGGTTGGGACGTGGAATTACAACTGAAATCGTGGAAAATTTCACTGGTTCTTGACAACTGTGCAGCACAACCTCATTTAAATCATTTGAAAAATAACAAAGTGGAATTTATGTCTCCCAACATCACATGCCTGGTACAGCCAATGAACATGGGAATAAACAAAATTTGAAGATCTCATATCGCGAAAAGTTGGTAAACTGCATCCTCGAAGCAATAAAATTTGCTGACATCATTTTCAACAGTTAAGGAAGGTAGTGAAGGATTAACATTTTACAAGCATTACAGTGAACTGTCTGTAGTCGAAGAAGAACAAGTACCAAAACCATTAAGAATTGCTTTACTCGATGTGGTTTTAACATTCAAATTTGGATAAACCGAATAAGGCTGATAGTAAAAATTACGTCATATTGGAATGCACCACGTCGAAAATTACGGAGTTGAAGACAATAGTCTTCAGTGTTATAATGAAAATGAAGATTGTGAGGAAGCAATTGTTGACTAAACCGCGGCGAAACGTCAGGAGACAACAGATCAGAGAAGCGGCAACCGAGCATAAACAAGTGACTAACCAGGACGCGAGGAAATGTATTGCTCTACTAAGACTTGATTTCATGCAGGAAGTTCATGGAGACAATGAAGGCAGACGCATATGTGAACTAGAAACCTGCGCTGATTTTATTCAGTTGCAGTCAATCAAGAGAACGCGGCAGGATACATTCGATCAGTGTCTGCAACGTCACTATCTGTTAAGAAGCAGACGCACCTTCAATACGTAAATGAATCAAATTTCTTTTGGGGACAAATATTTTTCTGTGTTTCAGCTCATATGAAGTCAGTATTTTTTTGGCTCAGTAAACGGAAAGCTTATCTTTTTCTTATGTACGTACAACTTTTTCACCATTTAAGTGCAAATTCTTATGTTTTCGGCAGCTGCTTCACTGGGGCAAAGTTCTCTAGACCCGATGTGTCCCAATTAGCCGGAATCCACTGTATACTCGTATAAACTTATTGTTATATAGTTGTGTTCTGTACAATTTTCCGTTGCGATATGACAAATAAATAAGAGCTTTGAAAGTATACCCAACATTTTTCTGGTATCTAAGGGAACCCAGTTATGGATTTGTTACTTCCGATAAGGATTATCACCCAGAGCTGCCCTGGGGTTGCTAGATGGTTACAGCTGTGTGATTTTGAGTATATGATAAAAATACTGAACAGACTTCCGTAGGTGATAAGAATGAATCGAGCGTTTTTGTTTCCAAAGCTAAAAGTCAATGTTCTAAGCTAATTAAATAGTTCAGTATAATTGACGGTTACATAGTTACATTTTAATATTTTGATAAATAAAATGTTTTAAAGAATTGGATGTGGTTAATATATTTTTAGCCTATCGCAGTGGCGGCGCGGTCTAAGGCGCATGAACTTTCTTCTCCTACTCGAACATTTGGGTTGTTATTTCGAATACCATTCGAGACATGGTTGTCTGTTTGTGTTGTGTGTAGGTAGCGGCCTTGCGACGGGCTGATCCCCCGTCCAAGGAGTCCTACCGACTGTGTGTAAGAGTAAGAAACTGAAGAAGCAGCTAAGGTCCAAAGGGCTGTAGAGCCACAGAAGGAGAGAGAGAAAAAAGAAACAATGTATTTTTAATTTGAAGAGCAGAAATTTACAAAATTTT